GCATTTAAAAAAGAAATTTTCAAAAATTAATTTGTTTTAATGTTAATAATATGTATGAAAATTTTTAAATGACACATAAAGTCTTGAAACATAGGAAAATTAATTCCATTGATACATTATATGATGGAAACGTGTACCCAGATGCGCAAATAACACGCATTGATGTACATTTTCATTACCCAAATTCGTTTGAATCACACCCATGTATGAGCAATTCTGTCATTCGCAGGTGCCCGAGTATCATTTATGTATGAGAGCTAAGGGGTTGATATTATGATACATAACGTATTTCTTCATAAATAAATCATGCAAGAAACTTCATATCCTTGGTCAGGATTGGAATAAAGGACCTTTAAAGAACCTACATTATGCTTACACCAATTTTTCTTATTCATTCCTTCTCTCTCAATTTTAGTTTAGTTGCACCATGCATTCCATGTTAAAAAGGGCAACTGGAAATTTGTTGGTGCCCCCTTACCTAAAGGCCTTTTTGTGGTGCTCCCTTTCTTTGATGCTCTAACCTTATTACTTAATGGTTAATCCAGCCCTGTCCTTGGTTTCGGATAATCTCCTCAAACCATTACACTGTCTAGGGCAGCTACCAGAGAAAGGTTACACATTTTCATCTTATGGGTATCTTATCCTACATACGATTCATTTTCGTGCAAATCACATTCTGTTGTCACTTTTTGTTTGATTTCTACAAATTTCTGAAATTTTCATGGATTTTTGAATTACTTTGTTAACATTTTGACTTCTATTTATAAAATTGTTAGTTATAATTTGAAGTTTATCGGAAAAAAATTAGGAAAAGTAATTTGCATTGGTACATTTAATGTTGAAAAATTTTTAATTGAAGACCTGAAACATATTTTATAGATACATCTGTGTGACCGTCTGGTCCATATTCACATATCCATTAAAAGATCTGATTTAAGTATAAAATCTCATTTTCATTTACGCTCTTAAAACAGGGAAGAATTTCCACTTTTTTTAATATGAGTCTTATCACAGATTTGCCATCATTCGTCTGTTATTCATTTAAAAATAAAGATTTAGCTTACACTAATTTTAAAATATTTTCATTGGTTGCTTATAAGTTGCCTTAAAAATTTAGAATTTTAAGTTCCTAATGGAGGAAAAAACTGTTGCTTTATTTCTCTGTGATTATTCACATAGTTAATATACTTGCAATTTGTTACAATTAGTGAATGATGTTCGTACAACTATATAAAAGAAAATAAAGAAAAATGTCATTCTCTTTTGTGTTTTAAGAATTAATTTTTAATATTAAAGTATACATACAAATTAATACAGAAATAATTTACTCCGTGTTAAACACTGTAAAAATTGCATTGCTTAAAACTACAAACATTCATTGTTTTGTTAATTTTATGCATATGATCATATATTCAAACACTTAATAAAGCAAAATTCACCCATGTGATCAAAGTGTCTTTGTCAGCAAATGTATGAAATAACTGATTAACGTCGTTTCCTTACAATAAATAACGAATTTAAATGAAAGTAATTAAATTATTTTTCGATGACAATGAAGTGGTTTTCTAGTAGTATTATTTGGTTATTTAAATAAATGCAAAAAGTACACGACAGCTGCCTGCCTAAGGGAAAGCCACCTTCGTGGAGGACTCTATACGCGAAATTGGCTCATATTTACATTAAACATAAGGTCTAAAAATATCCGTATAGTTAGTCTCGTTCGTCTGGATTCGAATTCAGGTCAATTCACCACTCCCAACTACTCGACCGTTGGTGGGTTCTTTTCTAGTACTACTAGTTTCAAATGTTATAATAATTTAATTCTACATATTTTTCCAATATTCTTAGTCTGTTGAATTGTATTTACCACAGTAAAAGTTATAAAAAATTACTCTGTAAAGCTAGTATTTTAGCTCATATTATATTATTGCAATTTTAGCATTACTTCATAAATAATTCTGTTCCTTATATGATGTGCTTCATTATCTTTTTCCTAGGGTAGATTTAGGACTATCAGCGGCCAAACACTGGATGTTGATACTTTGTCCGAAATTTGAGTCCTAATCAGAGGCAGAGCCTTGCTTTTCGTTGCCTGTGCAACTTCTAAAGAGTCACCCCTCAAGTCTGTAATCGGCCCTGCTCCTAATGACCGGAACTATCCGTATCAAATTTTTCTTGATTATCCTCATGCACAGCGGAAATACCTGCCACTTTTGTTTAAAAATCTATCCCGGAAAGGATCCGTCCCAAATAGTTTGTCTATTTAAATAATTTGTCCCAAGCACACAGATTTAATTTTGTATTAAATGTGTAGTATGGTTAAAATTGCAGATTCCGAAAGCATTTAAAATTGACTTACAGTCCAATTACATAAATGTAAGATACTTTTTATTTTTACGTCAAAGCGTAAAATATAAAATTTGCATTAATTACCGTTTTTTTGGGGGGGGGCAACTATTACAGCAAATTATACTAGAAAGAGTAATTTAACCATGCATTTGTGAAATGCAATAACAGCAGTGCAACTTGTACGCACTACTTGCAGAAAACAAAGACTTATTAAAAATACTTATAGGAAATGATGATTAAAACTATTTCCGGCAAAATGCCTTTGCATCGCCATATGTAGTAATTCTTAACCTGATAAATTAATTATAGACAATTTTAAGAGCTGTTAGTTAGTTTCATTGTGCCTTTTTTAGAAATTAGAACTAAAAAATCATTTCTATATAACAATTACTATTTTCCGACCACAGTTAACACGACTCTCATTGGCAATTCTGCCCAAACACAAATCTATTTTGCAAGATTGTCTGAGAGAAAAGGAAGCATCTGAACAGATTTTAAAAAACCAGCTCTTGCAAGTGATTCAGTGAGACGCGTAATGATATCATTATTATTGCAGTCTTTTGCGATGTTTTATCGTCATATTTCTGATATTAAATATTCCTGAGTTTGAGGTGAATGATGAAAAAATAATAAAAATGTTCCCCACTAAGTATATCTTTCTACCTTAATTGGTAAATACATCAGTCATGATTGCGCATGCATTTTATGCTTATAGTCACAATCGTTCTGGTAAAATATATAAACTACCTGACAACTGCTAAGGAACAACTTATTTACCCAAAATAATATTCCCGGCAGAGATTCTCAACCAGGGTAGAAATGCTGATTATCTGTTAAGTATTTAGTTACAGTTTGTAAATATAAAATACTATTTTTATTAAAGTTTTGGTGGTTCATTTTCCATAATTTTTCTCAATGTATAAAAAAGTAATCTAAATTTAAATTAAATGTATATGCATTTTTTGAGTTTGGGAAATGAATGGCGGGGAAATGATCGTCTAAGCAATGATGAAAGAAATGCATGGGGCAAAAAGTCGAGAACCACTGTGAATGGATAATGTAGAAAAATATATCTATGAAAAAGACAGTATATGTAAGCCGTTTATTCATTTCAAATTTCAAGCAATGAAATTTGAATATCCAATTACGTCATGGGTAACTGAAGATACTGCTGTAAATTTTCATCTTTTGCGACAAACATTGAGAACAAATGTTTGTAAGACATCTTTTGGATAATTTAAGGTAGGGCAAAGTGTTATTCAAATTGTCATAGCAATAAACATGTTAGAAAATATTATTTTGCGGTTAAAAAAAAAATCACTAAAGGCAGGACTCGAAAAGCACACTAGTGACTGCGAGAATAGTACTACATCTTTGGATGACGGGTTTACCTTAGTGGTAAAAGGATCAGAAACCTTACCCCTGACGAGATAGCCATAGAACTTCAAGCGCTGCTGGCACTTACGTACCAGCCAGAATCATATGTTGGGGATTAAATCTTACAAGACTTGTATGCATGGAAACCTAATGTATGCATTTCGTTACCAGTATGCCATCGTCGATAAGGATTTGCAATGAACATATTTGTTGATGTCAGCAGCAGTAGTCGGGATCACCATCAAGAGTGATTCTATACACTATTTTGGGTGGAAAGAGAAATAAACCCGTTATTTACAACAGAATAATGTCCAGAAAATGATCATTAGGGCTGGACAAATTTTGTATGCGGGAAGGGGCATTATATAATGAGACAGAACACCGATTCACATTTTTGACGTTTAGTCTCAACTCCAAGATTCATTTGGGCTCTTGTTCAGTTATATAGTGGGTCCAGGCTTTCTGTTCACGAAAGGCAATTAACCTCCACACAGGATGGCTGAAGTGTCCGAGATACTGGAAAGTATCTTGCGTATTCGCCGGAAATCTCAAACAATGTGCCTAGGATGCTCTGGACAGATGGCTTGCACAAATAAAGAATTACTTTCCTAATTGTGCAGGGCCCAAAACATCGTCTTTATAGATGAATGGGACAACATTTCCAAATTTTCCTCAACAGTTTATTAAACAGCATACATAACAGATGCCAACATGCATTAGTGTTCAACACGCCTTACTGGGAACTCATACTTGCCATAATTCTGGTGGGAAGGAGCATTTTCCGAAATAGCTCCCATGTATCCCCCCCCCCATTTTGTTTTCAAAGTGGTGAACTCAGATTCACTTTGCATTATAAAGTAGGCAGAGTACCTCTTCTAAATATATACCAAACTTATTTTTTTCAATCAATGTCTATAATTAATTATTTCAAAGGATGTTTGTGTTCCATAGCAACTGTCAAACAGCGTAGTTGCGTATATTTTAAAACATATGAAAAATTTAAATGGAGTATTTTTGCTTTAATGACAAAATGCTAATAATTATTTAAAACTGATAACATAATTGATTTTATTTGTAGCTGCAGTTACCAAATAAAGTTTTAATGCTCTGTTTTTATTGAAAAGAAAAATCAGTTTAACTTGACATGAGTTGTGTATTTTTCCTCTGAATTCAATCATGAGAAGTAACAACAGTAATTGTAAATTAATTCACAACAAATGTATTTGTGAATTAATTTACAATTTTAATGGATAGTAAAAGAGGCAGAAACGTTATTCATTGGTTAATTTCATTTAATATCAAATGTGAATAACTACAGTGGATAATTTCATTCAGCTTCATATTCAAAATTCACTGCCGCACGCTGGAAACCTCTTATTTCCGCATTCTAATGTTCTGTGTTTTGAGTTTATAACATTTAACTTTACACACTGATGCAACGCATATATAAGTAGTCCTTTATAATATTTTTAAAAATAATTTACGATGAAATCTTTTTGCATGGTCATTACCTTATTAACTTAAATGAGAACAGTTCTTTTAAAGCCTTGGGTTAAATGGTAAAACATGAAACAATACTTTAAGAAATTTGACTGTCATGATTCTTATAACACTCTTCGCTAAATATAATGTAGCTCGAATTATCTTTTCACAGAATGAAATAAAATAGACTAAATAAGACTTCAGCAGAACTGCTGCTTTACATTGCAAAAAGAAAGGCTTTGGTGTACCTTTGAGGACAAGTTTACACTGTACATTCCAAACATATTTACGAAAGCCAAGCTGTACAGTTAATAACTTACCCGTTGCTATACATATTGACACAATACATCTGGTTTTTTGTGGCACTTTCTCCTGCGATAATGTTCATAATTTTATTGCAGGAACATAAAATGTTAAGTCTAGGTACATGGCATTATCTCATCTGCCACATTCTGAAATCACCCTTTTCACATATATGTAAACAAACACATTTTTAATATTGCTTTGCGTTCGACGTTCCGACTGACACACAGGATGATCTCAAGATTTTCTTAAGATTATGTTATTGTCCATGATTTCACACACAATATGTAAAGACTAGCAGTATGTGCTTCTTGCAACATTACCGCCTCGAGAGAATGGCCATATTAAGTTTCTGCTGACATTCAGCCGTAAGAATGAGCAAAGATCAAATTAATTTTTTCCTAACAGTTGGTACTGCAGGCAGTCAAACATTGGCTAGGTTGTGGCGCTTTGTGAGATACCCTTCGTAATACTCTTTATTGTCAAGAGCCTGCTTTACTGCTATCCTTAAAAGATAATTGAAGAACCTATGAAAAAAGCGTAAGCGTAACAACCATCCGAATGTAAATCTCATCAACCAATATCCAGTACTTTCGTAAATACCCATCTGGAAATCGCAAGGTAAACCCATCTGTTCAAACCAGAATCTCGCCATTGCTTCCCAACTCAAAAAGATAATGAAAGAATTCATAGCTTTTATAATGCCACGACTCATACTTGATGATTCCTTACAAGCGTTACGGACGGATGGTTTTAATTCAGCTTCCATAATATCTTTGCAGATGGCAATTGTCTCTTCTAAGTTGCCATTACACAAATTATAGCGATCTTCTACGCCTAACATATAACCAATACCCCGCCAAAAATGGATAAGGCATTCTAGATCTTCCTTGCTGCAATGCAAGCCTACATGTCGAGGATGAAGAATAATAAGGCCTACAAATGCAAACTGTGTAAGTGCCATATCATATTGAGATACAGCTGGACATCGACGACGGCATGTAGAAGGACCGTTCAACTTATCTGCTACGCGTTTGTGCATACCGCGTACCATAGTAATACTCTGATGAGCAGGATCATCTTTGTTCCAAATATCTCCCTCGTACCACCGTCGAATGTGAACTAAGGTGCTGAGGTAGCGACGGAAAAGGCATATTATGTTTGCTGAGTTTCCTGTAGACATGAGCGGAGCTGTCATACTTGGCATATGCACTATAAGCATCAGACCAGCAAGGTGGGAGAAGAATATGCTGCAAATAAAAAATATGACATGAAATAATGGCAAACATTTAAAAATAGTTTGTTACAATTTATTTTGATTAAAAAATTACAGATTTGTAAATACATTTTTATGAACTCTATTCTTCACATTTATGTCAACATTTATTTATTTCGAACAAATTACGACATCAACTGAAGTTGATTGATTATATGAAATTTTGGCAACAGCTGGAAGAGGCATTCACTGATTACTTTTTGGAAATAAGTACACACCAAAGGAGTAGAAGGTAAATATGCAAAATGACGAATAAATTGTAAAACACAGCATTTTCATAGTTTATCAATACTGAATTCTTTTGTATTTAACTTCTTAATGTCCTAAAGAAGTATCTTTTCGTGTTTTTGTTGCGGCGTACTTTTTAATAATTTAATACTTTTGTATGTCAGCGGATATTGAGAATTATTGTTACTAAATGGAAGGTGACAGCAATTTATATTAAATTCTTAATCAAGGGAATAAGAACAAAGTCGTAAGTAAAATACTTGTGATTAACATTTTATAAGAAATTAAAGACTAATAAAATGAACACAAAATTCACATTTAATGCATAAAAAAGGAAATTATAATATTTAAAATTTTGCATAAAGATTTTTGAAATTGATTTGAAATTGGATTGATTTTTGAAAGCAGAGTAGAGGGCAAAAGCTGAAGTGCGTAGTTATGAAAGATGGAAGCACGCGAAGAGAAAAGTTTTGGTTTACAATTCGGTGATTGGTTGTCAAGAGGCATCTGGTATTAACGGTTACGTAAGATCGCATAATTAATTTGAATGACGCAATGCAGACAAGCATAAAGGGAAAATTTTTAAGTTCCTAAATACAATCAAACCTATTTATACTTTGTTTTTATTTCTAGAGTTGGTTTGCAATGATACTACTTGCAATTATTCTTTGACAAATTTTTAAATTTGTGCCTTTATATCTTTTTTTTTTTTTTTTTCCTTTTTAAAATTTTATATGTAGTTAAGAATCTCTTCTTGCATATAAAATGAAGTAAAAAATTATAACAATGTATTTTCTTAGTTTATATTTAATAAAAAATAGAACAAATTAGACTTCATGCAACAGTTTTCAACTAATACTCGAAAACATTCAATTGACACATAAAAAAAATTAATCTTGAGTTATCCATTGTACGATCTTTCCGAATGCAAGAGATAATTAATTACTAAAAGTGTTATTTAAACTATTCAGTAAACATAAATTCAATTAACAGACTTGTAAATAACTTTTATAGCTAAGAGATTAACAGTATTTCTTCTGAAAATAAAAAATATGACTATTCGAGCAAAAATGAAGCCGACATGTTATTCATTTATACAATTATTGCTTTAATGTACATAATGCTTTGATAAAAAATACTTAGTATTAAGAATACGAAAATTTTATGTCGTTGCAAATTTTCATTTTCTGAAGACTGAATTATTTATGGATTGATTTGAAGAATTAAAAATTACTTAGGAAAGGTATTAAACTTATTATAAATTTATAATAGTTAAAAATATTGTAAAAAAATTGTAATGAATTCTGATTACGAAATAAATCTGGAATATCAATAATATTAAAATAAAATAATTTTCATTTGCTTGACGTGTTACTTGCATACGATTCCATATAAGCTGACTTCAGGGATTGGATTCAAAAATTTTAAGAATAGGTTCGATGCTTAAATAAACCTTAAAATTACATACTCAGCAGCAATAAATTGTCTCAATAAATATTAAATTTGAATATTAACAACCGGTTTATCGAGCTAAAAATATTTTAGGAAATCATTCTGCCGATTTTAGCCCGTTTGCACCGGTTTTTATTTCTCTCTATTCGATAACAACATCTTCTAATGAGCATACTCAAAAAACCTTTAATCATTTCCTAACTTTCAAAGTAAAAGCTTCCTCTTCTAAATCTTGCTTTTATATACCGTAGACGAAATATGCTATAAAAAGTAAATCAAATGTTTTAGTTTTTAGTCTAGTTCGGAGTGAGTCTGGAAGTACCCGCAAGCGGCAGGTCTATGGCAAACTAAAAGAAAAGTGTTTTTAAAAAGTAATGTTTCTGTTTAAATGAACATTATGCAAATGGTCCATTTAAAAGCTTGAATTAGTACTTAATAATTCAAATTATTTCTTTTATCTTAAGTGGAGTTAAATTATGCTTTTTGATACATAATATTTTATCTACCTTACAACCACTAATAAAAAAACATCGTTAAGTACGATTTATCTTTTCAACATATATATATGTCATAATAAGAGCAAAGGAAAAGGAAAAGACAGAACACTGTAGATGCGTGCTTAAATCCATATTGAAGAAGCATTTTGATTGCGTAGTATTTAAAGAACTTGGCAGTCGAGGCAGTTTTACTTCCATTTTTATTTCCAATTGAAATTTGTGGCCACAGATCACTTGGCACACTAGTCGTGCCTTTCCACAGAAGATTTACATTTTATATTGTTGAGATAGAAAGCAAACCGTTTAGGAATTCAGCATTACAGCGAAATTACATCTTAGCAGAGTAGAGGGCAAAAGCTGAAGTGCGTAGTTATGAAAGATGGAAGCACGCGAAGAGAAAAGTTTTGGTTTACAATTCGGTGATTGGTTGTCAAGAGGCATCTGGTATTAACGGTTACGTAAGATCGCATAATTAATTTGAATGACGCAATGCAGACAAGTTATTACGATTTTAGAATAGAGAGGAAGAATTAATATTTTACAGTTATATTATAATTCTGATTCATACATTGTTATCTTACATATATATATATATTTTTAAATGTAACTGTTTCAGTTGATCCAAGCATAAATTGAAAGGTTAGACAATTTCCGTCTAGCGTTAGAACGGAACAAGAACCCTAAAGCATATGTAAGTTTATTGCGGAAGCAATGAACGCAACTGAGAAGTAAGGTAACAAGAAATGCAACTCAGAAATAGTGTTAGGTACTACTCAGCAGCCAGACTCGGTACCTCCTACATATTGTATGTAGGAGATACTGCCAGACCCTGACTTACCAACAAAGCACTTATACCTCGGTTTTTATACCTACTTCGGTAGATGGTCTTCGAAAAGTCCTTTCAAAGAGAATTTCACTCGACTTTAGATAATAGAGTAATAGGAAGGGAAAAAAAAAAAAAAAAAAGCAACAGAACCGTGTACAAATCTCGATAGAAATTTTATTTGTGCAGAAGATAAACAAGCATAAAAAGATGATATAATGAAAATTAAGAATCAAGGCATTAAAAGAAAAATGCAACTGAATTCTTTAATTAAAAAGGTAAATTATTATTTCTTTGACAGCTTTCAATGTTACAGCAGAAAAAAAAAAAAAAAAAAAAAAAAAAAAGAAAAGGAAAAAAAAAATTTTTTTTTAATATCAGAGTTTCTAGAAAAGGTTTCCATTTATTTGTAAATGGAAATCAATATATCAAGAAAATAGATTTATCTTTCATTCCCAGTTCGAAGAATTTTATAGAGTTTATTACTGTGAGTAGTTCAAGCTATTCTTAACGGTTACACATTGCTTTCTGCCGGAAGATTTAGACCAGAGATTTCCAACCCCCCTTTTTTTTTCTGTTACTTTACACTTTTAATAATTTAAACAGCTGGTGGAACACGGCACACGAACAATAAGATAAATACAAAAGAATTTTACTTGGTTAATTGACTGAAGTACCTATTTTGTAAGAATAGCCTATGATAATGATTTTTAATGAAATAAAACTGCATTATAAAATAAACAAAATGTTTTTCTTATGATAAATTACAAATTACATTTAATGTGAAATTTAAGATTGAGGTTTCTTTGATAATTTCGTTTATGGCATAAAAATGATAATGTCACTTTCATTTCGTGAAGCCACTTCATAAGAAGCTATCTGAGTTTTTTCAAACGACACGAAATGCTTTTTCTAAAACCTTTACTTGTTTGAATCTTGCACATACTGATTTTTGAAAGCGGCTTTTGTCATTTGATGCAAGCGAAGGTTCTGATTAATCAGCAAGTGACGTTGGACCTTGCCCTGAACCATAGCACTGTTTGACACTTTACAACAACATACCTTACACTCGGCAACAGTTTGAACAATATGCGTTGTAAATGTAAATCTATATTTTAAGAAGCCGTCGTTAAATTTGCGATAAACGTTACATTTTTTGGTGCTGGAAACATCTTTACTTGTACTGGGCTCGGGATCGTAAACCTGATCCCTAACATTATCGTTACCGTGGTTAAGCTTTTTTAATCCATTTATGACAGTGGTATCCAACCGTTGGCTCGCGGGCACCTGGTAGCCCGCAATCCTATCTTTAGGCTCCTGCTAATTTGATCCTTAAAAACTTGATCCTAATGTAAAAAACAACCATAAAAAGATGCACAATTACACGTCACGTACAGGGGTGTTGCGTTTGTGTTCACCTACTCGCATTTTCACTACTCACTCTGCCCCGTTTCCGCGTTTTATCTGCGCAGCGGATTGGAATTAGTGCCTGCCACACAAGTCTTGTTCGCTGCTGTCGCGGCTAGATTTCTAAACTGCCGAAGCTGTTTCTGATGGGTTTTAAAATAACACTTTAATTATTTCATACATTTTGTGGGTTGTCTCTCGACATGAGTGACGTGCCAGGGCCATCGAAGAGAAAGAAAAAAAAAACCTACCACTTTAACAGTTTCCTTTTCTGGAAGAGCTACAAACGTTAGCAAAAAAAGCAGTTTGTTTATTATGCAATTGTTCAGGAGCAGTGGCAAAGCGATCGAATATTGAATGTCATCATAAAACCGTTCGTAAGGATTTCAACGGTTAATGGATCCGTTTTACGTAGACAAAGTTCAAACATTGAATCTTTTCCAAAAGCTAAACAAAGAACTCTTTTTACCCTCAAATATGAAGCAAAGAATCACACAGAAGCACAAAGTAACACGTTCTTGCATCACATAAAAATGCATATTCAGACGGGGTAGTTGTGAAGGAAAC